TTTCTCTTTCTCTCTGTGTGTGAGTCTGTGTGTGTGTGTGTGTGTCAGTGGTGGGTTGCAAAAATTTTTGGAACCTCTTCGGTAGGTGTGGTCTGCTTTCCGGGTCCACTGGTGGAACCTCTTCTAACTGGTTCGGTAGATTTGACGAACCGGTTCTACCAAACTGGTGCGAACTGGTAGGAACCCACCTCTGCCATGGACACTGTTCCTCCAGGCCTTCCTGTCCTCTACCATCCTCTGGAGTCCATTGAAGTTCATGCCGACTGCTTCGGTGACTCCATCCAGCCACCTCTGCCGTCCCCTTCTTCTTTTGCGCTCCAACGTCCCCAGCATGAGGCTCTTCTCCAGGGAGTCCTTCCTTCTCATTAGGCGGCCAAAGTACTTGAGTTTCATCTTCAGGATCTGAAATTAATCTCCTTGATTAGTTTCCATCTATTGCTTCTGGTTCTGCCTTCTGCTGCTTTGGAGGATAGCTTGACTCCCTCTTCTTTAGGGTAGATTCCTCATAGATGATTGATGGGCAGCTGCTGAACAAGCTTTGATTCCCCCCCCCCCTTTCTTTCTGGTTCTTCATTGCAGATCACCCAACTCAAGATTGAAAACAATCCCTTCGCAAAAGGATTTAGAGGCAGTGACGATATGGAATTGCACAGAATGTCTCGAGTGCAAAGGTAAGTCATTATTCAGTGCCGTATTTCTCAACTTTTGGAAACTTGAAGATGTGTCGACTTCAAGTGCCAGAATTCTCAATCTTTCACATCTACCAACTGTCAAGTAAACATCTGGAGGGACCCAAAAGTGCTTTTCCAAAAGGCAACTGAACTTCCTTGGTGGTGTTTTTTTTTCCTGAAAACGTTTCAGCTTCTCATCCAAGAAGCTAGAAGAAGTCAGAAGATTCTTCAATGAAAAGTGAAACGTTTTCAGTGACAACACCAAGGAAGTCAGCGGCCTTTTGAGGAAGCACCTTTGGACCTCTCCAGATGTTCGTTTGACATCTGGTAGATGGGACGCAGGGGATCAGGGGCTAAGATGCTGAGCCTGTCGACCAGAAGGTCGGCAGTTCGAATCCCCAGTGCCACATAACGGAGTGAGCTCCCGTTACTTGTCCCAGCTTCTGCCAACTTAGCAGTTCGAAAGCACGTAAAAAATGCAAGTAGAAAAATAGGAACCACCTTTGGTGGGATGGTAAGCGTTCCATGTGCCCTCGGCATTTAGTCATGCCAGTCACATGACCACGGAGACGTCTTCAGACAGCGCTGGCTCTTCGGCTTTGAAATGGAGATGAGCACCGCCCCCTAGAGTCGGGAATGGCTAGCACAGATGTGCGAGGGGAACCTTTACCTAGATGGGAAATACAGTGGATTCTCAGCCAAGTTTGGGAGTCTGATAAGGGCAGCTTTTAACATCAAGATGGGTCCCGAACACTGAATGGGATTGAATGCAAGGGGAGGTAATTGAGTACATGTGGCGGAATGATGGGACTCAAAACATTTCCAACTGAAATTAAACCCAACGTCCTTTCCATGGCCCCATTCCCTCTTCCGTACTGGAAACAAAGCAGGGCTCATGTCAGAAACAAACTTTGGACTTTCCCTGAAAGTTTCGTTGGGTGGAGGGGGTGGGTGGGAAATTATGAACAGGTGGCTGATGCCGATGCCAGCTTATCCTTTGGCCTTAATGGAACTTCGGGAGAGGATGATGTTGAACAAAAGGCCGCCATCCAGGGTGGGAAAGATATTGCGTTCCAAACAGAAACAGCCACATGTTTCTAATTGGACTAAAATGCTCTAGCTTTCCTTGTATATACATTTTATAGGTTTCCCTTTTGAGGAAGGGGACGGCCGGGGAAATGGTAGCTATTGGGGGAACACAGCTGCACACCTTATGACAGATTCTTCCTTGGGCAAAATCTTCCTTCTGAGGGCAAACGGAGTGCAGATTTGTGGTTTCTTGGCGAAGCACAACATTTTCCTACCGTGTTTCCCTGAAAATGACAGGGTATTATTTTCTTTTGAACCCCCTGAGATAAGCGCTTGGCCTTATTTTTGGGGAGGTCTTATTATTTTTGAGGTGCAGGAGGCAGTGAGTGTGGTCAACTCATGGCTGCTGCTGTGTTGCAATATTTCCAGGGAGGGCTTATTTTTGAGGGAGGAGTTTATTTTAGCGCATGCGCTCAAAAGCCCAATTAGGCTTATTATCTGGGAAGGTCTTATTTTCCGGAAAACAGAGTATACAGTCCATCTGTTCATTTAATGACCGTTCATAATGACAACGGTGCTGAGATAAGTGACTTAGGATCATTGTTCACACTTAACAACCATTGCAGCATCCCGTGATCAGAATTCAGAGGCTTAGCAACTGGCATGGACTTAGGACTGTTGCAGCGTGTCCCCAACCCAGGGCGGTGTCACGTGATCCCGTTTTGCGACCTTTCGACAAGCCAACGGGGGAAGCCAGATTCACTTAACAAACGGGCGACTCACTTAAAACAACTGCAGGGGGTTCACTTAACAACTGCGGCAAGAAAGGTTGGGAAATGGGGCAAAACTCACCCAACAAATGTCTCGCTTAACGACAGAAACTTTGGGCTCAATTGTGGTCATAACCTGAAGATTACCTGTGGCTCATGTCCAACTATTGTTCCTCTTTTTTGCACAATGCTCTGCTCTCTTGGTTATGCCGGCAGCGCCTGGTTTACAATCATTCGTTTAGTAACCGTTCAATGTTATAGGCAGTCCCTGACTTTCGACCCCACCCCCTCCAGAATTTCCATTGCTAAGGCAGATGGCTGTTAAGTGAGTTTTGCCCCATTTTATGCACTTTGTTGCCTCAGTTGTTAAGTGAATAACTGCAGTTAATAAGTTAGTAACACGGTTGTTAAGTGAACCCCGCTTCCCCACTGACTCGGCTTGTCAGGAGGTCACCAAAAGGGGATCACGTGACCTCCCCCACCTGGAGCATTGTGACCATCATAAATACGAGTCATTCGCCAAGTGTCTGAATCTTGATCGCGTGTCCGTGGGGATGCTGCAATGGTCGTAAGTGTGAAAAACCATCATGAGTCAATTTTTTCAATGCCGTTATACAATAACTTGGAATGGTCGCAAAACGAATTGTTGTGAGTGGAGAACGACCAGCCCTCTTTACTCAATCCTCTTCGTATTGCAAGTTGTCAGTCTTGTTGTACGCGGGATATGTTGGTAGTGAGATCTTGCCCATTTAACAACTGGTTTGGCAATTGTGTGTTTTGCTGCCCTGTGTGTGCGCAGTTTAATCAAAGCTTGCCTTCCACGTTACTTCTTGAGGCGCGTCAATCTGCTTTGCTGCGCTAAGCAGAAGAGAGGATATAGGTACCGTATTTTCCGGAGTGTAAGACGCACCGGAGTATAAGACGCAGCAAGGTTTTGAAGAGGGGGAGGGGGAAGAGAAGTTTTTGCATTCTGCAAACCTCCCAAAAACGGTCCGTTTTTCACGAAAACGTGCCCATTTTTTTCCCCCCAAAAAAGTGCATGAATAGCCCTTAGGAGGCTTGTAGAGTGCTCCTGCAGAGTTGGGGTGGGGCAAAAACAAGCAAAAAAAGGCCCGTTTTTCATGAAAAGGGGCCCACTTTGTCAAAAAAAGGCCATAGAGAGCTTTTAGGAAGCTTATGGAGTGCTGCGGGGGGCAAAAAATGGGCCGTTTTGTGCTCATTTGTGCCCTCCCCAGCCCCCAGGAGCTGTCTGAAAGCCTCCATAAGGGTATGCACAGCCATTTTGGTGAAGGGGCGGGGCTTCGTGAGGCAAAAAAATGCTGTATTCAGTGTATAAGATGCATCCAGATTTTCAGCCTCCTTTTTGAGGGAAAAAGGTGCGTCTTATACTGTGAAAAATACGGTAAGTAAAGTGCAAGCGTGTACCAATCGGATTGTTGGAGCTACCAGTTCACCCGAACTGGTCCGGACCGGCTGAATCCCACCCCTGGTTAAGAGATTTTGTTGACCTTGAAAATCAAACTTTTTTGGTTCCCCCAAACCCTACATGGATGCCAGCTTGAAATGGAGAATTGCTTGTAGGACAAAGTTTCCATGACATTCATTGTAACCCTGTTGTTGTTGTTGTTTGTTTGTTTTTGCCTTTGATTTCAGCAAGGAGTACCCGGTTGTCCCCAGAAGCACAATCCGGCAGAAAGTGTCTTCTAACCACAGTCCCTTCAGTGGCGAAGGCAGAGCTCTCTCGGCTTCCTCTAACCTTGGATCCCAGTTTCAGTGTGAGAACGGTGTCTCTAGCACTTCCCAGGACTTATTACCACCTGCGAACCCGTATCCTGTATCTCAGGATCATGGGCAAGTTTACCACTGCACCAAGAGACAAGGTGAGTTGGAGTTTTAGAGTAGGGATGGGAATGGGAACTAGCTATGTCTAACTAAGGGGTCAGCCACTTGTGGCTCTGGAGCCTCATGTGGCTCTTTTATCCCTCTGCTGCGCCTCCCTGTTGCTGGTCAGCTGCACAATTGATAGGGCTTTCGGTTGGGACAGGTAGAGGAAAAAGAAAGCCGCACTAGGAGGAGACTCTATGGTGGGGGAACCGGACTTCCTGTCGGCTCCAGAATTGAACGGGGGGCTTCCGGTTAGGACCTTTGTGGCTCTTTGAGGGTTTAAAGTTGCTGACCCCTGTTCTAACCTAATAAAAAGAAGGACTAAGGCGAAACACGATAGCAGTCATCCAACATTTGAAGGGCTGCCACAACGAAGAGGGAGTCAAGCTATTCTCCAAAGCATCAGAAGGCAGGATGGATGGATGGAAACTAATCAAGGAGAGAAGCAGCCTAAGACTAAGGAGGAATTTCCTGAGAACAATTAACCAGTGGAACGGCTTGCCATCAGAAATTGTGCGTGTTCCATCACTGGAGGTTTTTAAGAAGAGACTGGTCAACCATCTGCCTGAAATGACGTAGGGCCTCCTGCTTGAGCAAGGGGTTGGACTAGAAGACCTCCAAGGTCCCTTCCAACTCTGTTATTCTGTCGTTGACCCTCATGCTATCCAACTGTTTCCTAAAAATGTTTTGGCTGGACTGGAGAGAAGTAAATCAATGCAAGCTTTTTCCATCCTTCCGCCCCAGAGCTGAATTTTCAAGTCTTCTCCCATTTGACTCCTTCTACGTTTCTTCATTGTCTTTTCTCTCTCTCTCTCGGGTTCTGTTTCCCGTCTAGCAGAATCATCTTGACTGGCCTTTCCGAGCGTTTCAGCCCATATTACAAACGGCAGCATAGATAGAATACAGAGAGGTGACCCCACAGTTCTACAGAAGTTGAATCTACATCCACGGAAGATAACTGGTGCCTGGGCTACAGATAACTTATCAGGTTGGGAGGCCTTAAGAAAGGACCTGGGATTAATTCCAATACTTAAATAGCTAATGGCAGGTTATTTTGGAGGGGTGAAATTTATAGCTATTCCGAGAGATTAGCCAGGCTTTTCCGAGAGTTCGTTGGCTGGCTGAGCCAATTTGAAATGGAAGCACACGGGGGGGGGGGGNTCTCCTTTTCCTCTCCTTCTCTCCCTCCTTCTCCCTCTCCTTTTTCCTCTTCCTCTCCCTCCTTCTCTCCTCTCCCTCTCCTTTTCCTCCTCTCCCTCCTTCTCCTCTCCTCTCCCTCTCCTTTTTCCTCCCCTCCTCTCCTCTCCCTCCTTTTTCCTCCCCTCCCCTCCCTCCTTCTCCTCTCCTCTCCCTCTCCTTTTTCCTCTCCCTCTCTCTCTCCTCTCCTCCATCTCCTTTTTCCCACCCGTCTCCCTCTCCCTTCCCTCCCTCTCTCCCTCTCTCTTCTCTGTGCTGGACTGCACCCCCTGTGATCCCCACTGACACACCCTTACATTGCTCAAGATAATGATCCCATCCCCAGAACTTTACAAACCGCAGCTTGTGGCTTAGTGTTGTGTGAATGAGGCCCCTTGAAGTTTGGAGAACAAATCATGGTTTATCATGAGGTGTCTTTCCTTTGTAAGGAAACGAGATCCTGTATATCGTGGGCAGATCTTTCCTTCCTATGTGGAATTCTGAAAGGGAGGCCTGCAGGGGTCTCTTGGTTGGAGGCCTTTGTGGGAAGGGCACACGGCCCTCTCTCCAACCCAACTGACTGAGGCTGCCCTACCTCTACCCTTCCTTCGCAGATTATCCTCAACTCCATGCACAAGTACCAGCCCAGGCTGCACATTGTCAAAGCAGATGAAAACAACGGGTTTGGCTCCAAAAACACAGCCTTTTGCACCCACGTCTTCCCAGAGACGGCCTTCATTGCAGTGACCTCCTACCAGAATCACAAGGTAAAGGGGCCGGTTTTGGAAAAAGCTTTGCCATCAAGGGGCAACGACGGTGGAGGATAACAAGGGTGCAAGGAAGACCCTTCCTCCCTCCATCCCACCCTTCCTTTTCAGTTCCCTCTTTCCTTCCCTCCTTCTCTCATCCCCCTCTTCTTCCTTCCTTCCCTCTTCTCTCTCTCCTTCCTTCCTCCCTTCCTTTTCAATTCCCTCTCCTTCGTTCCGTCGTCCCTCTCTTCTTCCTTCCTTCCCCCTTCCTTTTCAATTCCCTCTTTCCTTCTCTCCTTCTCTCTTCCCTCTCTTTCCTTCCTCTCTTCCTTTTTAATTCCTTCTCCTTCATTCTCTCGTCCCCCTCTTCTTCCTTCCTTCTCTCTTCCCTTTCTCCTCCCTTCCTTTTCAATTTCCTCTCCTTCGTTCTCTCATCCCTCTCTTGTTCCTTCCTTCCTCTCTTCCTTTTCAATTCCCTCTCCTTTGTTCTCTCATCCCCTCTTCTTCCTTCCTTCCCTCTTCTCTCTCTCCTCCTTCCTCTCTTCCTTTTCAATTCCCTCTCCTTCGTTCTGTCGTCCCTCTCTTCTTCCTTCCTTCCTCCCTCCCTTCCTTTTCAATTCCCTTCTCTTGTCCCTCTCTTCTTCCTTCCTCTCTTCCTTTTAATTCCCTCTTCTTCATTCTCTTGTCCCTCTCTTCTTCCTTCCTTCCTTCTCCCTTCTTTTTCAATTCCCTCTCTCCTTCCTTCTCTCGTCCCTCTGTTCTTCCTCCCTCCCTTCCTTTTCAATTCCCTCCTCCATCCTTTTTTGCTTCCTTTTCTCTTCCCTCTCTCCATTCCTTTTTTCTTCTTTCCCTCTTCCCTCTTTCCTTCCTCCCTTCCTTCTCACTTCCCTCTCTCCTTCCTTCCTTCTCACTTCCCTCCCTCCCTCCCTTCCTTTACAATTTCCTCTCTCCTTCCTTCCTTCCTTCCTTCCTTCCTTCCTTCCTTCCTTCCTTCCTTCCTTCCTTCCTTCCTTCCTTCCTTCTTTCTTGTGAAAATTATGATCATGGTGGCTTGTGTGACAAACCATGATTTAACACAATGGAACTTTTCAGAGTTGTCTTTTAATAAAATTCGTAGACAGAAAAGGTACCATCGCATTTCCCTTCCCCTCATTAGTAGTGACCGTAAACGAACAAGGCTCTCTTCAAATCTTTCTCTACTTGATCTCAAAATGTATTGACCCAACATTGGACCTGATTAACTTTTGATTAGGAAGCCACTTGAACATTCTAGGGCTGTAAGCTAAACAATGAAGAAGAAAAATGAAGAAATTTGAAGGAAACCTGAATTTTGGGGGGAAAAATTAGAAGACAGTACTGGGAACAACTATGATTTATTTATTTTTTGCCAAGAAGTCTATATAGATGTGTGGATAATGTCATCAGCTCCACTTGATGGAGATTGGACCTTACTTTTTAAAATGAGTAATAACTCTCGGTTTCTTTACATATTATGCAAAATATCTAAGTAATACCTACAGGTAGTCCTCGATTTACAGCAGGTCACTTAGTGACCATTCAAAGTCACCACAGCACTGAAAAAGGTGATTTATGACTGTTTCACACTTACGACCATTCCAACATCCCCCATGGTCATGTGATCAAAACTCAGCCGCTTGGCAACTGACTCATCTTTGTGACGTGGGGTCACGTGATCCCCACCTTATGACAATCAAACGGGGGAGCCAGATTCATTTAACAACTGTGTAACTAACTTAACAACTGTAGTGATTCACTTAGCAACAACAGCCACAAAGGTCCTGAAATGGGGCAAAACTCACTTAGCAAACATCTCACTTAACAACAGAATTTGTGGCCCTACGTAGAGCCGAGGTGGCGCAGTGGTTAAATGCAGCACTGCAGGCTACTTCAGCTGACTGCAGTTCTGCAGTTCGGCTGTTCAAATCACACCGGCTCAGNGGACACGAGCATTTGGTAAATTATCGTTTTGAAATCTTTTTTTTCCCCCAAACACCCTGATTTTTATGGAGATCCCTGATTCAAGCTTTTAAATCTGGACGACTGAGAATCTTCATGGACAATATTTGGGAAATCTTCAGTTTTGAAAAAAATAATAATCTAGAAGTCAAATGTTTCTGATCATCATTTCAAGAACCGGCAGTAATGCCGGGAGCAACCCACCATGGTAGGCAGTCTAAGGTTAAAATTATGGGGGTTTCAGGATGTAACAACAGAGTCAGGTAGAGCATTCCAGGCGTTGACCACTCTGTGGCTAAAGTCGCATTTTCTGCAATCGAGTTTGGAGCCGTTTACCTTGAGTTTGTATCTATTGTGAGCTCGTGTATTGTTGTGGTTGAAGCTGAAGTAGTTGTTGACAGGTAGGACGTTGTAGCAGACAAATTTTGTCTCAGATCAGACCTTAGTTGGAATAGTTCTAGGGTATCCAAGCCCAAAATTTTGAACCAGATAACATAAGATATTCTATTGTGAGCAGGGGAGTGGAGGGCTCTTCTCGTGAAATACCTGTGGACTCCGTCGACTATATTAATGTCCGAAATACAGTGTGTGTTTTTGTAAGGTGGGGACAGAAAGAACGTTGGAGAAATGACAAAACCAGATTCAGTGGTTCGTCCTAAAGCGCCCTCCTCCTAGCGTTGACTCTCTTTCCCAAAGAAGCAACCGCAGAAATTTGGGGAAGGGGCAGCGACAGCAGTCTCTGGTTGGAGCCATCCTGTCAACTTTGAAAACCATCCATCATTGGTCTCCAGCCATCGAAGAGTGATAAAGACATACCAAAAAAAAAGAGAGAGAGCTTTCTTTTCACTTTAGGGATTCCCACTTGGTGGGTGGCTTCCTGCCTTCTCTCCTCGCTCACTTTATCTCATTTCCTTGCATTGTCATAGGCAAGAGGGCTGTCTTGCCCATGGTGCACTCCCCCCACCTCTTAGCCACATAGATCATGCCCCATCCCAGGCGACAATAACACAGTGTCTTCGTGCTATCTCTCCGATGGCTCAGGTTGGATGGGTAAGAAATATCTCGTTTATCAAAGTGTCGGTTCCCTTCTTGGTTGGGAATGTCTTCATGATTCTTTTGGCTGATGATGATGATGATGATGATGATGATGATGATGATCTCTTTTATGCATTAAACATGAAACTCAAGTCAACTGAAGGTTTAAAAAATGTATCATAAATATCATTGGCTGGCGCTGATGGTTGATACTGGTTGCTGCCAGCATCCTAGGTATCAACCAAGTTTTATTATCTTCTCTTCTCCTTCTTCTTCCTTGTTCTTTTAATTCCTTTTTCCCTGCCACTTCTCCTTCTTCCCCTCCTTCTCTCCTTCCTGCCTCCTTTTTCTTCTCATTACTTCATCCCTGCCTCTCTTCCTTCTCTTCCTTCTTTTTCTCCGTCCTGTGTCCTTCTCTTCCTTGTTCTTTTAATCCCGTCCTCCCTGCTGCTTCTCCTACCACTTCCCCTTGTCCTCTTTCTCTCCTTCCTTCCTCCTCTTTCTCTTTTTCTTCTACTTCTCATTCCTTCCTCCCTGCCTCTCTTCCTTCTCTTCCTTCTTTTTCTCCGTCCTGTGTCCTTCTCTTCCTTGTTCTTTTAATCCCTTCCTCCCTGCTGCTTCTCCTACCACTTCCCCTTGTCCTCCTTCTCTCCTTTCTTCCTCCTCTTTCTCTTTTTCTTCTACTTCTCATTCCTTCCTCCCTGCCTCTCTTCTTTCTCCTCCTTCTTTTTCTCCTTCCTGTGACCTCTTCTTCTCTTCCTCGCTCTTCTCATCCCTTCCTCCCTGTCGCTTCTCCTTCTCCTCCTTCCTGCCTCCTTCTCTCTTCCTTCTGGCTGTGAAATCCAGTGCCCAACGTGCTTCTCCATTTGTGTCTCCCTCAGATGACGAATGCTCCACAGCGGAGCTCCCTTACAAGAAGCCCTACATGGAAACCTCCCCAGCAGAAGAAGAAGCCTTCTACCACCGCTCCAACTACCCCCAGCAGCAAGGACTGAACAGCGCCTACAGGACTGAGTCCGCTCAGCGCCAAGCCTGCATGTATGCCAGCGCAGCCCCAGCCCCGGAAGCGGTGCCCAGCTTGGAGGACCTCAGCTGCAACACCTGGTCCACCATGTCCTCCTACAGCAGCTGCACAGTCACTCCTATGCAACCTATCGACAGGTTGCCTTACCAACATTTTTCAGCTCATTTCACCTCGGGCTCCCTGATGCCCCGCCTTGCCACCGTGGCCGCTCACCCCTCGCCCCAACTCGGGGACACCCATGCCATGTTCCAGCACCAGACCTCCGTTCCTCACCAGCCCCTCGTCCGGCAACAAGCCGGCATCCAGTCTCCTCCTGGGAACTTACAGCCAGCCGAGTTCCTCTATGCCCACGGGATGCCCAGGACACTTTCCCCGCATCAGTACCACTCTGTCCACGGGGTGGGCATGACCGCAGAATGGAGCGAGAGCAGCTAACAAGGGAAGGGACGAGCCCTGGTTGGACTGAACGTTCACAGATAAGCACTCGGGAGGTGGACCGCCAGGTTGAGACCGTGGGGGTGGGATCACCTCTGTTTTGGTGTCTCCAAGCCACGGACCATCACAAGCACATCTTTGCCCTTTCCTGTGATCTCCTCACTCAGCCGCCCGGGTTTCGCATTGGTACCAACCTGTCCCCTTCCATGGTTTTTGTTTGATTTTTGCTCCCAAGTGAGATGTCAAGAGCTTCGTGGCTCCTCTTGATCTCCTTTTGACAGGGTGAGGTGGGAAGAATAAGAGTATGTGGAAAGCTCCCCTTCTCCTCACCCCTCTCCTTTCTTTTTGGTGTTGATATTGACAATGTTCTGTAATAAATGATAATATATAGCCCTCTCCATATTCATTTCTTTCTCTGTGTCCTTTTCAGCCTCTCAATTAGATGTGTCTTTCTCTCTTTTCACGGGAGTTTTATAAGCCGCAGCTGAAATAAGTTGTGACATACAACTTTTCGGTTGTTTCTCTTTATTTTCGTTACAGGTCCTCTTAGTTTAAATCCATGATCCTCACAGTTGGCCATGTTAAGATGGGTGGACTTCAACTCCCAGAATTCCCCGGCCAGGAAAGTAGGGCCGGCTAGGGGATTCTGGGGGTTGAAGTCCACCCATCTCAACGTGGCCAACTTTTAGGAACACTAGTTTTCAAGGCTAATTAAAGGTTAATAAAAGATTTTTAGTCTGATTTTTTCCCTACATTTCCCTTTCTTTTTATTTGATGTCAAATGTTGGAAAATATCAGAACAAAATTATCGTTAAATATACCAGCCCATTTTTTAATACAAGATCTGAGTTGGATTCAAATCATTTTATAACAGTATGCCTTAACTGTTTTGGGCAACAGTTTAGAAGGAGTTTATCATTTTTTAAACATTTTTATTCTCCACTCCACCATTATATGGTTTCTCAACTTGGAATAAATCCGCTTATTTGTTTATTTTCAAAACCAGCTATAAGATATTCTAGATACTATATTTGCAGTAATTAAAAGTTCTTGTTAGCAGTCATCTAAGATAATCTCCAAAATGTATACCATCTAAATTATCCCAGTTTAATAATCAAGTCTGACTTGTCTGAAATGGTATAGGGTCTCCTGCCAGAGCAGGGGGCTGGACTAGAAGACCTCCAAGACCCCTTCCAGCTCTATTCTATTCTATTCTATCTCAAGTTATTCAAATCTTTGGCTGCCATCCAAAACTCCAGCCAGGTAAGCAGTCTCCTCTATACAACTTACGACCACAATTGAGGCCCGCATTTCTGTTGCTAAGTGAGGCCGTTGTTAATTTGCGCCAATTCTTTGAACTGTCTTGCCACGGTCGTTAAGTGAGTCGTTGCAGTTCTTAAGCTAGTGACACGGTTGTTAAATGAATCAGGCTCCCCCATTGACTTGGCATGTCAGAAGGTCGCAGTAGGGGGATCACGTGACCCTGGGATGCTGCTACCGTCATAAATATGAATCAGTTGTTAAAAGTCTGAATTTTGATCAAGGGTCAGATGAAACATGGCTATAAGTCACTTTCTTCGGTGCTGTACTAATATTGAACAGTCACTAAACGGTCTGTTGTAAATCAAGGACTACTTATGGCGTCTACTGATCCATACCATAATTCTGTAAGGTTTTCCACCATGTGCTGGGCTGCCTTGATGGAAACAGGGAAGTTTATCATTATTGTTGGATCATCGATAACTCGGCTAAATGGTCCCTGCTTAGGGAAGGAGCTAAGTGTTGTTGCTAGAGATTGTGGTCACTCTGCATGCTGAAATTCTTTGGAAGACTGTTGATAACCTTCTATTGGGATAGGCAAGAAGAGCCTTGTATGATACAGGCCGCCCTTAATTTACAACTATTCATTTAGCCACCATTCCGAGTTACGGTGTTGCTGAAAAAGTGACTTAGCAATAGCACTTAAGACTGCTGCCTTATGGTGCTTTCCAGCCCCTCTCTAAGCGGTTTACAGAGTCGGCCTCTTGCCCCCAACAATCTGGGTCCTCATTTTACCCACCTCCGAAGGATGGAAGGCTGAGTCGACCTTGAGCAGGTGAGATTTCTACTGCCGAACTGCAGCTAGCAGTCAGCTGAAGTAACCTGCAGTACTGCACTCTAACCACTGCACCACCTCGGCTTTTCTTATAACTATTCCTCAAACTTATGACAACATCCCTGCGGTTTCCTGATCAAAATTCAGATATTTTGCAACCAGCATGTATATAGAATAGAATAGTATAGAATAGAATGGAATAGAATGATGAGTAGAGTAGACTAGAGTAGAATAGAATAGAATAGAATAAATATAGGAAAGATTATACTTGATGTGTGTTCATATAAAGAAAAAAAAACAGAACAGAATTGGAAGGGACCTTGGAGGTCTTCTAGTCCAACCCCCTACTTAGGCAGGAAACCCTACACCACTTCAGACAAATGTTTGTCCAACATCTTCTTAAAAACCTCCAGTGTTGGAGCATTCACAACTTCTGGAGGCAAGTTGTTCCACTGATTCATTGTTCACACTGCCAGGAAATTTCTCCTTAGTTCTAAGTTGCTTCTCTCCTTGATTAGTTTGCATCCGTTGCTTCTTGTCCTACCCTCAGGTGCTTTGGAGAATAGCTTGACTCCCTCTTCTTTGGGGCAGCCCCTGAGATATTGGAAGGCTGCTATCATTTCTCCCCTGGTCCTTCTTTTCATTAAACTAGACATACCCAGTTCCTGCAACCTTTCTTCACATATTTTAGCCCCCAGTCTCTTAATCATCTTTGTTGCCCTTCTCTGCACTCTTTCTAGGGTCCCAACATCTTTTTTTTCAACCCATTTACGATGATTTGCAACATCCCAGGGTTCACAGGCTCACCAAAGTTTCCTTGGGAAAAGAATTTCCGTCACTAGACAACTTGAATGTGTGGATGTCGGAATATCTAAAAAGGCTTCTTCTACCTTCCAGCAGATGGCTGAAGGGAATCTCCCCCCGCCCCTTTCCTGTTTTATTTCTGGAACTTGCATAGCTAAAGTTCACCGCCAAACTACGATTGAAGAGCTAAGAGCTATTTTGAATGGAGAGCTATTTTAATCCTACTGGATTTCTTTGGACACTGTTCTACCAAGCTGTTAATTCCTTTTTTAAAAAAAAAATATGGACTTCCAGTTCAACCCCTTTATGTTTTTTCTAACTGCAGTAGGAAACATCACACTTGTCTCTCAGTTTAAATCTTAACTGCAGTATTAAGAGTAACAAGAGTTGGAGGAAACCTTGGAGGCCATCTAGTTCAACCCCCTGCTCACGCAGGAGGTCTATACTATTTCGGAGAAATGGCTGTCCAGTCTCTTCCTTAAAAGCTTCCAGTGACGGAGGCTTTTAAGAGGAATTAGAATTCTTATAATTATTTTGTTATTTATTCATTTATTTCAGAAGTAATAAAATAATTCCAAGAATTCTAAATTCCTCTTAAAATGAAAATTTAGAATTAAACCCCCATTGGAGTGGAAAATTCATTTTTAAAAGATAACCTAGAGCAGTGTTTCTCAATCTTGGTGGTTTTAAGTTGTGTGCTCCAGTAATGGTATCCTCTTTTCTTCAACACCGGTTCGATAGCAGTAGCGTTGCGCGCCTGGTCACGTACCCAGACGTCCGTGATGACGTCTGGGTAGGTGGGCAGAGCCTTGGGCCACCACCGCTACCGGTTCACCCCAACCGGTGCAAACTGGCAGAATATCACCTCCAGTGTGCTTCACATATCCCAAAGCTGCCACAGTTGAAAAGCATTGATCTGGAGGATGCATTTTGATCATTTTAAGATTGTGTGTGCCAACACAGAGAGACAGGTACAGATGTGTACACAAATGTGCACAAAATTTGTATACATCCAAATTAAGTACATAGGCAGATGTATGTACTTGCCTAAGAGAAGCAACCTAGAACGAAGGAGAAATTTTCTAACAACGAGAACAATGAACCAGTGGAACGACTTGCCTCCAGAAGTTGTGAGTGCTCCAGCACTGGAAGTTTTTAATATGAGATTGGACAACCGTTTGTCTGAAATGGGATAGGGCAGGGGTGAGTTGCTGACGGTTCGCAACCTGCAGGCCAGAGACACGCCATGCGTGCATGCACTCTTGAATGCGAATTGTTCTGTGCACATGGGCAGAGCAATTTACAGTGAAATGCGCATGAGCAGTCACAAAAATCCAAAATAGCCGGGGCCAAGTGGCAGCAAAGCAACCATTTCAGGGGTGTGGCAGGTCTGGGTTACTGCCGGTTCTGCGACCCAGGCCTGAATTCCACTACTGGTTCGGTTGAACCAGCAGCAAACCACCTCTGGTATAGGTAGTCCTGCTTGAGCAGGGGGTTGGACTAGAAGACCTCCAAGGTCCCTTCCAATTCTGTTTGTTTTTTTTTCTTTATATGAACACACATCAAATATAATCTTGTTTAAAAAAGCTTCACATCTTTCAATATTCATTAATTTCAAGAAAGGAAAGAAGGAAGAAAGAAAGGAAGGAAGAGAAAGAAAGAAGGAAAGAAAAGAAAACGATTTTTAAGGAAAAAAATTTTAAGAAAGAAAGAAAGATTTATCAAGCTGTCCATAAACATCAAGGGATGACTCCCAATTCACGACTTAATTAAAAAAAAAAACTGCAATAGAAAACCACTTTAACTGCATTTCTTCCTAACGTGTCCAGGCCCTGTTTTAACTCTACTTCTTTATATTCAGGTAGTCCTCGATTTAAGACTGCAATGGAGCCTGCCCATCAGAGTTGTTAATTTATGAAGGTCATAAAACCGATTCATGACCTTAGTGGCCTGATTATCTGACTCTTTTTGGGACAGTCATTAAGTGAACACAAGAGGTTATAAAGCGATGACACTCTTTCCCGAAAACTGGATGTAAATGGAAATTTTCAGCCAAACCATCCTAAAAATGGAGTCATGTGACCACAGAACACTGCAAACA